AAAGGTTTCCAAAAATAACTATTTTAATGAAACTTTTTAACGCTGATTTAAAAAGTTTGTGCTGATGAATAAAGTTAACATTGCTCAGCAGTTTTTCCCAGCGGGCTAATGATGCCTCCCTCTGGGGGAACTCGGACTGGACTTCTCTCACAGTCCGTTTGTCAGCGGCCTTCTGTTCGATGTATCCTCTAATACCACGTATATAAATCTCTAGTTTAAAACCGGACTATATCTCAAAGGACCGAAAATGAATGACCAGATAGCCTGGGTACCTCTTAACATGGCGCAAGTACCCACAGGATCCTGTCGCATACAACAGTGTCCGCTCAAGACAGAGCCAACTTAACACAGGATCCGCCTAAGACAGGGCGAAATTAACACAATATCCGCTTAAGACAGGTCTCACTTAAAATAGGGTCAAATTAACACAGGATCCGCCTAAGACAGCGCCAAATTAACACAGGATCCGCCTAAGACAGGGTCAAATTAACACAAGATCCGCCTAAGACAGGGCCAACGTAACATAGGATCCGCTTAAGACAGGTCTCACTTAAGACAGGGACAACTTAACACAGGATCCGCTTAAGACAGGTCTTACTTAACACAGGGCCAACTTAACACAGGATCCGCTTAAGACAAGTCCTATCTAAGACAGTTTAAGATAAGATTTATCATACAGAAAGAGTAATATTTATTTAATTTTAAAGTGAACTTTCATCTCTCTGTGAACTTATCAAAGAGATGCATCTCTGATGGTGTATATAAACTCAATAAAAATTAAACCTAATTGTTAGTACATTACATGTCGATGTACGTAGAAAACAGTTTAAATTTGCACTTACAAGGTATCAGAGTCCTGTTGAGTTGCTTGTATTCATTGATGGGATTGGACTTATGCAATAATAGGATAAAATGCATGAGATAAATGAGACAAGACTAAAAATTCACTTTCAACATTATTCAACGAAGAAGAAGGAAAAAAAGGTTTCTAAAAATAACTTATTTAATTTTAATTGCAATTTTCGTTTTACAATCATCAGCCGCGTTATATTGTATTTTAAATGTATTATAAGTTACTTTAAATATTATTTACGAACGGAAAAATACGTCCAGGGTAGCCTAGTGGACATGGCACCTGCCCGGTAAGCAGAAGGTTGTGGGTTCGATTCCCGCCCCTGGACACTTTTATTTTTCCGTTTGTCATTACTCTTCACAATTCATCCTATCATATTTCATCCTTAAAGTTAGAAATAATCGTTATTTCTCTTTAAAAATAGATTTCGATTTTTGTTTAAAAGAAACATTCGCGGTATAATTGCAATTTTCGTTTTACAATCATCAGCCGCGTTATATTGTATTTTAAATAAATATATTATTTTATTTTGAAAAACTGTTACAAAGCAGGTTTCGAACCCGGGTTGGTAGAGAGCCAACATCCACCTCCCAGGAGACCGACCATCCCTGATGGATGCACCGCCTCCAGATATCCTGACCCGCTAATTAGAACTAATTGGGGCAGACATTTTTTGATACGCTTTGTCTTAATTACTCCCGTGAAAAATGGGCTCCTTCGAGAACTCTTGTGAGTCATTGACGCTGCTGAAATGGATGCAGTTTTATCTTTCTCTTGGAACTCTTCTCTTTGAACACGTCGTATCCAGATGGGTTATGCACGAGAGTAACTAATCAATATTGATAATTGTTACCTCGACGGATGGTAGGGGGGATCTCACCTCTATTCAATTCTACTACTGAAAAACACACACAATTTATCTATCAAGAAATTGGCAACAAATTCCTTTATTTGTTTAAAATAGCAAGCTTTCATCAGGGCCTGATGATGAGCTGACTCTTGAAAGATTGCCATTTTAAATTAATAAAGAAACTTATTGCAATTCTCCTGGTTAATAAATATTGTGGTTATATATATTGCCACGTGGGAAATTAGGGAAGACCAAAAACTTCAGGATGAGACAGCAATTTATTTCAGGCCAGAACAAACTATGAATGGTAAACAAAAGATAAGCAAAGAGGGAAGTATACAGAGTAGCAAAGTATAAATATCATAAATGATACTCTGTTAATAAAATAATACTTTGCGACATAATTATAGAACCAATTATTTGATAATCTTGAATCTATGCTACTAAATGTTTTTTTTTTCTTTATCACAATCTCTCTACTATACATTTCAAAATTTTTTAATTATATCTTTAAAAAATCTCTGTAGATAAATATCTTTAATTATTTTTTTGTACAATATGTTTATTAGGATATAGAGAGAAAATAGAGGTAACACGGGCTCCTGCTTATATATAATCGAATATTTACAGCCCTTTTACGACAATGATAAAAATTACTAAATAAGAAGTCTCGTTTAAAGATAATACTTGAGGATATTGCCACGTAGAAAATTAGGAAAGACAAACTTCAGGACAATTTTTAAATCAAAATTAATAATCTGTCCACATAAAATAATAATTACTTCCGGGTATTTGGCGATCTAAGGATACACTCCAGGAGCCTGGGTTAAATTTATGTTACTGATTATTACAAATTTATTGATAGATGGCAATTTAAATTAAAACTATATACGCTGTCTATATACCTTTTTGGAATTTTCTGTCTTTATCAACATCTTCTTAAATACAATTTTGCATCCACATATAAAAACGTGATTCTGTCAGGTTGGTTGTCTATGTGGGGACACCTCAGCGCATAGAATAATTATAACCTCTATAAATCAAGATATTTACTATTAAATAAAGTTCACCTTTCCTGTCAAAATAAACGCTAAATTTATAAGCGCCATCTATTGAGCGTTCTAGCAATCTAGCGTACTCGATTCGGTGATCTTTCTTTTAATAGATCAGTATTTTACTGGAAAAGAATTACATCAAAATTTACTGAACTTAGTTAAAAATCTGGTTTTAACTATATTCATGCCAACTTTTCAAAGAAAGGTTTAACCATGTTGGAATTTAAACTAACCCTCCATCTGTTGAGAAACCTATGGGTAACAATATTAATAATGTTTATGATTAATAATAATAATAGCGCGATAAATGATTGAAAATTGAACGATTCTTAAGAGTAGCCATCGTCCTATGGATACGTTCGTAGAAGGGCATTCCTCTAGTGTATTCAATAAAACAGAATGTGGATATATGGATTTGTAAAAGATTAAAATTTGATTAAGAATTAATAATGGCTCATAGACACAGGCCAATATTACTTTTTCTTTTAAATACGTTTCCTTTTTTTAATCCATACTAAAGTATTACTTCAGCATATAAATAAGTTTCTACTTGTATTATGCCAAATTTACTTTTATTCAATGTTGGTGAACATATTTCTTTTGTATAGATGCTTTATAGGCCCCTACAAGCTCATTTAAATTGTGAGTGAGGCTTTACTGGATCACAATTTAACAAATGGCGAACAAAAGGACTTGTTGTTAGTTACCCCGAAGTTGGAAGTCTGCGAACATACAGATCGTTTCGATACCTACTTTATACGATAACACAAGACCATAGTGTCTCTTCTGTTTATCTAACTGTCCTGTTAAAGAACCATTGAACGTGATGTTCCAAATCCCTTAAGACGTATAGACTTCTAAGTAGCCCACCAACCATAGGTCTAAATCCTGTGAGACTACATACTTCTAGGTACTCCACCAACCATAGGTCTGAATCCTGTGAGACGTACAGACTTCGGTCTAGGTAGCCCACCAACCATAGGTCTAAATCCTGTGAGACTACATACTTCTAGGTACCCCACCAACCATAGGTCTGAATCCTGTGAGACGTACAGACTTCGGTCTAGGTAGCCCACCAACCATAGGTCTGAATCCTGTGAGACTGCATACTTCTAGGTAACCCACCAGCCATAGGTCTGAATCCTGTGAGACTGCATACTTCTAGGTAACCCACCAGCCATAGGTCTGAATCCTGTGAGACTGCATACTTCTAGGTAACCCATCAGCCATAGGTCTGAATCCTGTAAGACGTACAGACTTCGGTCTAGGTAACCCACCATCCTTAAGTCTGAATCCCTATCCAGCTAATATTTCTAAAATTGGAACCTATAATGTATATTCAGACATTGATAAAAATCTCATTTCCATATATGCATTTAAATATGCCATTTTAAAAAATAAAAATATAATAAAGAAGAGCGGCCCCCAATCAGAGCCGAGCAATTAAAGATTCACATTAAGAACGGAAGATAAGAAGAAAAAGCTCCGACTTCTTCTAGAATACCAGACCATTAAAATAACGATTTTGGCTAACCACAAAACTTTAATGGGAGACGGAACAAAAAAACGGGAAATTCGATAGCGGTTCTGGTGGTAATTAAAAAATGCATTTGCATCTAAATGTTTTTTTTTTTTTTTCGAATGAGAATTGGAGTGGGAGATTTGGGTAATAGATCTGTGTAGAGTGGTGCTTGGAGCTATTAGGTGTTCTTCGAAGTGCCGCTTTGGCGACAAGACCCAAAGTTTAGTGAGGACAGGTAGCGTGTCGACAATGTAATTTTACATATCCCAAATATACAGGCCATGATGATCATTCTAGGTATTCAATGTAAAATTATTTGCTGTTTGGGAGAGTTTGTTTTAAAGATATACAATCATGGACAAAACTTAAGGAAGTGGAAATTCTTTGTTGTCGCAGGTCATCTGTTTTTTTTTTTTTTTTTGAAGGATACAGAAGCACACACACAATTTTTTTCATACTTGGTTATTTCGTGTGTCTTCAACAAAGGTACAATTTCCTGAAGTTTTGTCCATGAGTGTAGATCCACCAAACGTTCTTAGGTTTTTATTTCTCGCCAACTCTTCAAAATTTGAATATATATGTTTTTTATTAAGTGCCCATCAAGTCAAGTTCGACTTTTAGTGGTTATATGGGACAAACATTCTCCACCACAATTTGATTATATTGCGCCACAACCGGTCCAATGTGAAGATATTTTGTCTAAATAGAGACTTAATGGATAGCCTACAGCCCCCGGTGTTCCCAAGTGGTCACCCTCACATGTACTGACCCGATATTGCTTAACTTATGGGAACAGACGAGAACAGGTGTTTCCATTGTAATATAGTCAAAGGCGAATATTAATATATACAGTTATCAGCGTCATGCATTCTTTCTTAATTCTGTCACCGTTTGCTTTTGGTTCAGTGGTAGAATGCTCGCCTGCCACGCGGGCGCCCCGGGTTCTGGGAAAAAATTAGTTGTTTTTTTATTCAGAAAATGATGATGACAATATTGCTGTATCATTAATATATACAGTTATCAGCGTCATGCATTCTTTCTTAATCTGTCACCGTTTGCTTTTGGTTCAGTGGTAGAATGCTCGCCTGCCACGCGGGCGCCCCGGGTTCGATTCCCGGCCGATGCATTTTTTTTTTTTTTTACAATTTTTAAAACTCATTTATATATTATACAAGAATGACATCCACGGCGCCAATTTATAATTGTAACGAATAGTATTTGAATAAAAGCATTTAATCGGGTAAACCCCGGGCGTTGCCCGGGTCATTCGGCTAATATATAAATATGTGTGGGAGGTAACTTCAGGTCTGGAGGTTAGCTACAATATGCCCAGATTTGATGGAAATGTGGTTTACCAAAAGCAGTAGTTT